ATCTCTGGAGAGCACTGGGTAGGGGTAAACTGATTTATTTTTCTCATGACAGACCAATCTAGATCCTGAAACCACAGACCTCAATTGCATCCTTGAATTCATCATCAGGTTCTGCTTCCTCTGCTTCCTCCACACTACCAGGAGTTAGGTCCTATAAAAATAGTTTTAAGTTATTGTTTAAGGAGCAGGAGTTCAGGAATAAACTTAGAAAATTAGTAAAATAACAGGACTAAGATGAAAAAATATAGCAGAACAGAGAAATTAACAACTCATTGTCTTTACACGTAAACCAGCATTGCTTCTGCCTCATAATCAGCAGGGACTTAAAAAGTCCAGAAAGGAGAAGGAAAGAAAAAGATGGCAACTCTCCCAGAAGAATAATCCTATAGGCCAGCGGTTCTCAACCTATGGGTCGCGACCCCATTTGGGGTCGATCGACCATTTCACGGGGGTCGCCAAGCAAGGCTGTCCGCCATTTTTTTCCCCCTTTTCCGGCGGGTGCCTTACCTCCCTTGAGCTGGGCCAGCTGGTGGTCGGCCTGCTCCGTCTCTGCCGCTTGCCAGCTACGCCTCGGCCGGCGCAGGGGGCAGAACCACGCATGCGCGGCGCTCCCGGGCAGGGAAAGTCCTCGACTTACAACCAGTTGGGTAGTCCTCGACTTACGACCGGCTTAGTCCTCGACGCACAACCGGTTTAGTCCTCAACTTACGACCGGTTTAGTCCTCGACTTACGACCGGTTGGGGGTCGCAGCATTAAAAAGGTTGAGAACCACTGCTATAGGCAGTTCTTAGGTCACCAGATTTTTATGGCAGGATAGATAAAATCTTATGAAGGAGATTTTAGAATGTACGGATTTAATTATTTCTCTGCTTTGCTCTTTCCACCAAGTCTTACCTCAGTCCCAGTCAGGGTAGGTGTCCAGTCTGCCAAGACAGTAGCTTCCACTTCTCCAAGATCCAGCTCTTCCGGCTCTGGAGCCACAGGGATGGATTTGAAGCCCAAGCGCTGCTCTACAGCTGACTTTAGGTCCAGCATTACTGGGAACAGAAAAAAAGAAATGTCTAGACAACCTCCAGAAGCTCAGGAGAACTTCCCAACAGACCAGTTCAAGCTTCTGACACTGGCAGAGCAGCAGGTCATTCACTCCCATCACCAGTCCAAATGCCAAGAAATCAAGTACAGGAAGAAGAGCAACCACTGTCTGAGTTAATCATAAAAGATGAACTCACATGCTGCACTAGGCCAGTACAGGGATCTTTGAGCCCAAATACTGTATTATGTAAAAATATTATTTCTGTTATATATAACCCAAGCTACAATTTGTTGAAGAAACCATGGATAAAACAAAGCAACACTGAAAGTGATGCGTGAATCCAGTCTATGTTTAGAATGAAGTAACCACACTATGGTCTAATGATCTGGGTCCTTACTGACCATTTCACTGTCTGCTACCACATAGAAAAATATAATAAACCAAAAGAGCCAAATATGGCTATGAATGCATTCTCCAGAATGCACTTCCAACACAAAACCTGAACACCGTAATGCCATTCAGTCAAGGTTTCCTGCTGATTTCCTGCTACTAACCAATAAGAGGTCTAAATTCATTTCCCCCAGATTTTTGGTGGACTATTCATCACCTCAGAACATTGGTCTAAGAACTCTGCTAGCTTTGTAAAGTGAGGAAAGAAATATTTCTGGGAGGAGGTTAGCTTCCCTAAATGTTATGGGACAAAGTACCCAACGTGTTGATCACGGGCCAAAAAGGATCTGAAAACCTACTGTATCAAGTTATACAAAGAAATGCAACTGGAATGTTGCAGACAGCATCACGTTCTCAATACGACTCACAACACAGGGCTTTCTTTCTGAACACGGGTATCCTTTTAATAGCCCATCAGTGAAAAGGTACGTAAGTTACACACCACTGAAATCTGTCACAAGTCCCAATTTTCAATTGTGTGAAGGATACAATAATTGCTGCCTTCCCAAGCAAATGTCACAAAAAAAACCCTCCAAATTTCAGTCCAGCATTACTGAAGCAATCTATGATTCTGACAAGTGCAAAAAAAACATCTCAACAAGAGGAGAGCAATTAGAAGTGGGTTTCAATGAAATTGCTAAGCTCTGAAGAGCTCTTTCTTAAAATTAGTCAGATGTGTAGTGCATTTCATAGGTGTATTAAATATCCGCAGATCGTTGCATTCCCATTTTTATTAAGACTCAAAAGCTTATTTATCCTACTCCTTGTTCTCTGTTAGTGTGTTCCATATGAAACTGCAAACTGAACTTCTTCAAGTAGAAGGTCTTGCAGCGATGAGGCTTCCAGCGTTATCAGAGTTACACTGCAGGAAATGACATGGCCACCTGGCTGATATGAGCACCAAAGGATGTAACATGGGCCTGAGGAAGCAAAAAAGGGTAAACGATTCTTGCTCTTTCTCCACCCGTCCCTGACCAAAAATGTTTTATTAGTCCCACTTACATTAAGAATCAGCTACAGAATTTGATAAAATGAATCCTTTGCCTCGCACAAGTATCTAGCAAAAAAGGTATCCACCTTGAAAGTCATTTTCAGCAAGCTTCTCCAATTTTGTCTACCAAAATTCCAATGCAAAGAGAAGTTCATGGGTGAAATGATTTATTTGTTTACATTTTAATTATATAATCATTTACAGATAGCCCATTTTCCAAAGGACTCAGTGCTTTGTAATGAAATTACCCCCAAAACATCCTCAACAATCCTGACCAGAACAGCCCAGGACCATCACCGGCACCCAAGTGCTATACATAATAAAAATGTTTTTAAGGTCTTCCTAAAATCCAGGAAGTTCGGGCTGTAGAGGGCAGAGGAAATAGCTTTGAGGGACTGGAGGAAGAACCACCATCAAGGCAACAACCAAATAAAGTTATGAGTCTGGAGCAAAAAAGTTACATGAGTAAACATCTTAGATAGCTCTTCTCCCGCCAGTTCTCACAAAGATAGAGGAAAAGTGGGGGGAGAACATATCCAGACTTGCAAAATTCTGTTGCTATAGCTTTATAATAAAGTAGCATTGATCTACAAGACACTGGTCACCTAACTTGGTCTACCATGAAGAGCTGACAAGGCCATTTGTTAGGGGGCAAAATATTCTAAAAGGGCATGGGGTGAGAATTCTCAGTATCCTTCTCTTAAACAAACCTGGGGGCTGAGTCAGTGGTGGGATTCAGCCGGTTCACACCACTTCGGCAGAAACGGTAGCTAATTTTTTGTTGCCCAAGGCTCAGAATGGACTTCTGGAAGTGGCATCCACACAGAGAACCGGTTGTTCACATATTTGAATCCCACCACTGGGCTGAGCCATGTGGGGCTTCAAAGATAACAGCCACTACTTTCAACTAGTCATGGACACCAACTGGCAGCCAGTGCAGCAATCCAATCCAGATGTTATGCTGTTAAATCAACTGTGCCCAGTTAGCTGACAAACCACTGCACTTTGGACTAGATGAAGCTTCCAAGTCAAAGGCTGCCTTTATATAATAGGTGCTTGTTATAATAGTTTGATAATTTACCTTGATAAAATGCCACATTTCGAAAGAAAACGGCACTATTAAGAAGAACAAAGATCCAGCAGAGGGGCAGCAGGTAAAGGGCACAAACTGAACCCATCAGCATCCCATAAAACCTAGGGAGGAGAAAAATGGAGCAGAAGACACATAACATACCTGAACATCAGGATGACACTTAGGTACCAGTAACTGAGAAATAGGGGGGGGGAGTTAAAAGCTCCCTAACTCAAATACAACTTCCCATGGAAAACAAAAACATTGACTCAACGGTGGAGTGTCAAATAGGGCAACTTCCTCATTTACAAATACTTCTCTTTGCATTGCTTTCATCTGTTTTCCTTGATCTTGCTGCATCCAGGGGACATACTAGTTCCGCAGTACTAACTTTCCCTCTCCTTTGAATTAGCACACTAATAAAACTTTTTGAAATTTAATTTCTTTTAACAATATTGTTCTCGTCTAAAATCCTGATGCATTTTTGGAGCCACTTTCCCCCTCTTCTGTTGTTTTTTTCTCACTCTTGATTTCAGACGTTTTAGTAAAATACATATATTAACACATGTTTAATGAAATAAACATAGGCAAAGGAAATTTGTATGTGGATGAGTGGTAACAGCTAGATTTTTAACTTATGGTTATAAAAAACAAGGTTAGATATATTTTTGTGTGTTTTAATGTTTTAATTGTGTGTTGACTTACAACCATAATTGGAACCAGAATTTTGGTCATAAACCATGAAATAGAGGCAACCACATGAACAAATCTGATTTTACAACCATTTTTATGATAGTTGTTAAGCAATCAGATGGTTGTTAAGCAAAACACAGTCATTAAGTCCAAATCCACTCCCCCAAATAGGTATTTTTTGCAGGAAATTAGAAAACGGTGGGAACTGGCAAAAAACATTATAAATCACAGCCATGTGACTGCAGAATTTGCAGCTGTAAATGTGAGCCAGTTGCCAAGCACACAAAATGCTGTCACTTGACCTTGTGGGTGGGCAGTGTGACATTTTATGATGACCGGAAGTTCTTTATGAATTATAAAGCACACTTTGTGAGGCTGTCATAGCTCCAAATGGTCATTACACAACCAGTTGTAAGTCAAGGATTACCTTAAGTAATATTTATTAAATATTTTATTTATTAAACTGTTTTATATAATGCAGAATTTAGATCATATTTGTAACTTGCCTCTGAGCTTTTTTACATAAATGAACTTGATTTTTAAATTATTGCCATCAACTGCCAATTTGGGGAGTTACTAGTTTAATTGTCAGTTTAATCAGACTTATTTATTAGCTAAATACAGCTGTATCACTTTTTAAAATCTGGCCTTTTTGTGTGTAGAAAGAACATAAAAAACCCCTAGTGTTTGGGATGGAAGGGAATAGGTGAATTTATATACTTGAGAACATTTTGAATGTCAAAGAGTGCCAAAAAGCTACAAAAAGATCCTGGGAGGTGAGCAGAGCTCCAGGAAAGCAGAAGTAATTTTTTGGAAGTAAGCTATGTTAATGAAACACTGCCTCTTTGCCTCTATAGTCCTGGCCTATTACCTCACAATTATGCCTTAACGGCCTTGCAGAACTCAGCAGGCACATGATGTATTATATCCAATGCAATGAAATGTTCTATCCGGTTATATCCAATCACATGTGTATTCTAATTTGCCTGAGTCTGTATCCAACTGCTAAGAAAAGCAAGACCAGCAGTGATGTATCAGTTTTCATGAAGAGCTCCCAACCTTTTCTTCCTCAATGCTTCAATGGCTAAACGACAATTTGGTGAACTGCAAGATGATTTATTAGACTGGAGAAAAAGAAAACTCAAGGAAAATCAACTTAAAGCAACTTATGTCGGGGTGGAGGCCAAAGCAAAAAATGTACAGCTTGTTCTGAGCTGAAAGGGTTGCTCACCGTTGTCCTAAGGACCTACGCCAATACTTACTGGGAGGAGACAGTACGGTTCTCCCAGAAGAAGACGCGGTAAGCTGCTTCACAGCCACCACAGAGCCTGTTCAGGAGGGCTTCTAATCGGATCAGGCTGAAAAGAAAGGACAACAATTATAAATATAACTGTGCTGTCTAGCTCACAGCCAGGTAGTGACTGCAACATGGAGATTTCAACAAACTAGGCTCATAGAAAAAGCTTTCCCCAGCCCTTTATTTATTCCAGGGTAATCATAGAAAGCAGCAACAGTTGAAAAGCAGACCCCTTGCCCACCCATAGAAGAAGCTAGGATTAATGTTGCCACCAAAATTTAAATTTAGTCAGCTCTAATAAGTTTTAATTTTTTTTAAAGCACAAGTTCCAAGCATTCCAGAAAAAAATTAATGCTTTTGTAACTCAAACAAAGATGGGATAAGTTAATACATACTTTTGCCACATGTGCATTTAGCATGCCTAGGCATCATGTTTCTCCTACTTTTGCACATGCTCCGAAGCCAGATGCTATGAAACAAGGCATGTGTTGTAACAGGAAAGAAAAATGTGCTGTCATAAGACTTTATCTCATGACCTACTGGATGGGGATGAATATATTTGCACATGCCAGTGAAAACCAGATGCAGAAGGTTGCAGATTATTTATGTGTGGAGAACTTTTATCCAAATTTGTAACACTGGATTAGTAATTGGGAGAGTAAAATATCAATTATGACATGCTAAGCTCACCCAGCATGAGTTGGGGGAGACCTGCAGGAGCTTCTTATGCCAGCTAGCCCTAGATTGGCAGTCAGAGATGGAGGCGAAAAAGCAATTGTATCAGTTTCCCAGACTAGCTGAGAGTCAGCATGCTCCATTACAATATGGGAGACCCAGATTGCTGAATCCCTGCTGAACCATGACACTTTATTAGGCAATCCTGAACAAGCATCTGCTATAAGCAGAAATTCCTTAGAAGTAACAATGGCAAGCAACTTTGCAGAACCTTTTTGAGGCTAACAATTCCATTCTACACATGCCTACCCAAAGGTAAATCATTCAGATATTTGTAAATAAGTGTATGCACTATTTTAACACGAATAACACATGCACTTAAAGTCACTCTATTCAAAGAAAAACACAAAATTGTCAAACATAAGTTTTACCATTAAAAAGGTAAAAGGGTAGTTGGTATTTAGAGAAGGTGCATAAATAAAATATTCCATGCAAAGTACTTAAAAATGCATTTTTATTGATTTCACAGCACAAATTATATATTTGGCAAGGTGATAATGCTGGAACCTGGCCAGATTAGTTCCTTATCCAAGAAATGTCCTGACCAACTGCACAGGCAAAAGCATGTATTTTTGCCAACCTCTATTAGCCATCATGACTATGAATTACCTCTACTGCTCTCCTATCCTAATTATGAATTTCTCCCCAATCATTGTGGGAATACAACATTGGGAAAGATGGTCTTATTCTGATCCAGCACGTCTTATACTATATACTTGGGGGGGGGGAGTGAAAATAAGGATCATTAAAAGATGGTATGAACAATCTCAAGAAAGAGGACAAGATAAAAGCTAAAATCTCTAATAATCATATGATCATACAATCACATGATAGTCAATTGATGTGCTAAATCTACAGTAATTGCTATATACAGTTGTAAACATATCAAATGTTTATTAAAAGCAATGCTTTAAAAATGTCTCTTCTTCTTTAGTGACTGAAATCAATCCACTATTCTAGGCTATCATTGCATACTTTTCTGAAGTGGACAATGAAATTATTTATATTCCCAATAACTCTCCGTCCAATATAGAGTTACAGACTCAAAGTAATGATATATAATACCCCCAGCGGGTGAAATGATGTAATGCTTCTTACAAACAGCTAATCTATGGGGGGGGAATCCTCAGAGTGGCAGTGCAAGTAAACATGTAATGATCTTCCACTGTTTCTTAAGAGAGAAATTCTCCACACGTGCATCATTATTGGGTTATATTCAATATTGCACAATTCTTGTTTACATCATATCACAAACAGTAAAGTGTGGGACATACAGCAAGTCATGTGGCATTTGTGATATCATATCAGGTTTCTTCAAACACAAACAGTCCCTTCCCAAACTCTTGGAAGACTGGAATAGCATATAAACCAGCCAGCCAATCAATCAATAACCTCTCAAGTTTGATGCACATGCAACTGTTGACCTCTAAATTGTGCCACTAAAAGAGTGCATTTATTGGAATAAGGGGTAGATTGGAGGGTAGAACACCAATGTGTCTTCCCTACTCTGCCTCCCACAATAAATACAAATATACACATATTAGGCAGTTCATAATGTGATTAATTCTTCCTTGAGTGAGAAGGCTGTTCCTCCACCTCTTCGGCAGGTGCTTGTTCACCCTCTCCTCAAAAAGCCATCACTGGATCCCACTATACTGGACAGTTTATGTTGATCTCTAACCTCCCCTTTTGGGGAAAGGTGGTAGAGAAGGTAGCCATGCAGCCATTTTTGAGGAGCCTGAGTATGGGATGGAAATGGTATTGGTCACACTTTTAGATAATCTCTGGTGAAAGCAGGATGGGGGCTGTGCATCTCTCCTTGCTGTACTTGACCTCTCAGTGGTTTTCAATATATGGCACCCTTCTGGATACCCTCCAGGGATTGGGAATGGGCAACACTATATTTTGGTGGTTCTCCTCCTTTCTTCATGGTTGCTTTCTGTTGTGTTGATTGGAAGTGAATGATCTTAACCTCTTCCTCATGTGATGCTGCGAGTTTCAGTGCCCTATTTAACATCTGTGAGTGAGATCCTCTGTCACCAAATGGTGAACCATCATCAGTATGTTGATGATGCCCAATTATATATCTCTGCCCATGATGAATTCAGTGATGTTGTTGATGCCTTATCCCAGTTACCCCAGTGCCTGGGGGCTGTGCGGGCCTGGATGAGGAACAACAGACTCTGACTAAACCTTGGCAAGACTGAGTGGCTTTGGGGGCCTCCTGATTCTAGATTGATACTAGATGAGGTCGCACTGTCACAAACAAACCCAATGCATGATCTCCTAGATTTGCAACTTCTCAAAAAACATTAAAAAAATTAAAAGTTACTATAGTGAACTCAACCTATAGAATTTCCTAATAAGATTTTTTTTCTGCCTTTCTTCCAGGAATTCAAGCCAGTACAAAACATTCCCCTCTCCAGCCTTATTAGCTCAAGAAGCAACTTATATCACACAAAAGCCCTTCAATTCCATGCTCAAACAATGCCCAAGAGCCCACCCCCTCTCTCCCAAGCAGACTTACAAGCCTTTAACTTCAGCCACAGCCTCATTTCGAGAAAGTTGAACTTTTCTCACATCTTCTCGCCGCACACTGTGATACCTACGGCGTGCCAGCTGCTCTTCAGTAAGACGGATACGGCATGTTTCCTGTAGATAGCCGAGCATGGCAGGCACTGAGATTAGCAGGGCACACAGCCCATACCAAGCAGCTACAATGCAAGATGGAATAGATGCAGAGTTTATTAAGCCACCCACAGCTTATCTAATCAGCAGCAGTTTTATTGTTCCCCCCAATATACTGCCTCATCAAAGGAAGTTTCTCAACCAGCTGTCAGTGCAATTTTCCCACCATACATGATGACAAGCTTCTGCCAGTCTTCATAAATGTTTTCTGAACAAAATCATATTCTACTCTCCTCCCATTAACTCAATCCAGTCTCATGACTTCTGGGAAAACAGGTCCCCAGTATATACATTCAACACTTCTCACCTTCACTCAGAGTAAGCAGCAGAAAGTTGACGCCCAAACAAGTAAGGAGAGAGCAGAAGGGCATCTGCCAGCTGTGGAGTGGAAGAAATCAAACATTTACAATCTCAAAAAGATGCTATTTATTAGTTATTAATTAGGAAGAGTACTGAGGAAATGTGAATAAAGAAGGCTACATAAAAAAATTAGAAAGGATCTAGAATCATATATTTTTTCCTGGGATTTCAACCAATTCAAAATTCTTTTTTAAAGTATGTGAAACCTTCATAACACCCTATCTTAAAAATCCCTTATGTTTCCAACACGAGTATGGCAGGAGTTGTTTACCAGCAACTGTTTCATCATAATTTAAAAGCAACGTGAAAAGGACCCTAAGAGCTAAGAAAAGGAGGTATAGGAGCTACATGCAATCTCAGAATCACACCAACTATGATCCTAAAAAAAGTGTAGACTGGTATGGGAAAGAATGCTAAGTTAGATGAGCCTTTTTATGGACTAACAAAGCCTCTTTCTATGGTCTTAAAATGAAATGAACTAACACCAGAAAACCCGGACAAAAGAAACGTAATGACCATAAGATGTTGTACATTCTTTAATTTAAACGCTTAGGCCAGAAAAAGCAAATCTTACAAAAAGAATTTATTCTTCTGTTCTCAAGAATGACAACAGGCATAGATTTTGCTGAACTATGACCTGAAAAAGTAGCTGTATAGAAAAGCACCAACCTGAGGAGGAACCACACTCCTTCAGCAACATCCTGCAGTGGTTCCAGGTACAGCTCTAGTTGCTTATAAGATACTACCAGATTAAAGAGGTCCAAGGAAGGAGGCTTAGGGTGAGAGGGCGAAACTTGTTGGGCATCAGATGCTGTCACGCTGTCTAATCCATTCCCTGTGGACACTCCACCATCACGTTCTGATACCTGCATACTGTAAATATGCATTTGTGATTTAACTTATTTTTTTATTTATTTCCCTGAAGAAAAAATTAAGGTGAACAAAGATCATTTTTGAAATAATAGTGTTTTGAAACATAACATTATCTATGAAAACCTAAAATTCAAAGCCTGTTAAATAGTGGAGATTGTAAACACAAAAATTAATGACCAAATAACCATATAAACCAGCAAGGCATTTCATTACTGTGCCATTGAAGTGAAACATAAATTGCCATTTTATCCATGGCCTGCATGGTTCTAAGGCTATAGAAAATTATATTTCCCATTCAGACAATAATGAACAAATGGATATTGCATGAAGAGGTAGCATGAGAATTCAGTGGAAAATCCATCGCAAACAAAAAAGCATAAAATCATATTTACATTTATTAATTTATCATTTCTTTATGAAGAAAATATCTCTTCATCCATTACACAGAGGGTAAAGCTAGAAAGAAAATAGCTCCCTATATCATCATCTAACCAATATGCTGACAAGTGCTAGCAAGTGCTTAACCTATGCTCTTTAATTTATCAAAAGTTGAAAGGTGCATCTCTGATAGAAAAAATAAAAATAGACCAAATCACATTCTGCATTATAGTCTAATTGGGCAATCCTATTACCTGAATAAAATTGCATCAAAACAGACAAACTCATGACCGATGCTCTCTTTCATCATCTCAATACATAACATAAAAGATTCTAAATCCTTTTCCAAAAATGAAGAAAGTTTTCAATTTATTCATAGATGGAACAGATCTGTGATTAATAACTACCAGATACAAAGAAATCCAGCCATCTGCATTCTCTTCGTCCCTGTGTCATCAACCTTATTTCCCCTTCACCGGCATGAGCATCCTTCCAGGAAGGAAAACACAAAAACCCACAACTTAAGTCTTAGAGCATACCGATACGATAAAGCAAACATTCCCTATAGGGCATCTTTTCCCACCTGACGCCGTCCAGATGCACTGAATTACAGCTGCCAGCATCGCATCCAGCACGTCCTTGCCGCGCTGGCGAGAACTATAGGAATTCATCGCATCTAGAGGGTTCAAGGTTGGAGAAGTTTGCTTCAAGGAAGGCACAGATTCCCTGCACCAGATCATGGAGACCTACCGGCTACCAAAGCCTCACCTCGATCCTGCTCCGCTTCACACTCACCCCAATCTCAAATCGGGAGAAGGGGCGGAGCCTCCCCAGCGGCTCTGTTCCACTCGACCTCGCCCCTCTCCCAGCCGCCCGGACTTCCTAGCAAGAGAGAGACCCGGCTGTGCCTAAGCTTCCCTACTCAGCGTAAGCTTCGGGAAAGCGGCGGCCATACCCGCCTATCAGAGGCAGTGAGCCAATCAGAGGCAGCGACCCAATCCGAAGCGCGTGAAGGGTCACACCGGCGGACAGTCCCCCCCGCAAAAGCTCACCTCCTATTGGCTAAAAGCCTCTGGTCCTCAACCTATAAGAGTTGGATTTCTTGCTCACGGTAGTGGCAAGCTGCGTCTACAGTTCCTGGAACGGTCTGCGGTGATTGCGGCCTGAGCGTGTTCAGGCGGTTTGTCTCTGTGTCCTGTGCCAAAGTTAGCCGTTGGTCATCAAGGTTTCTTAGGAGCGTCTTTGCTCAGAAGCTGAAATCCAGCCATAGGAGAGTAACCTAAATGACAGGTTGCGTTCTGGAAACGAGAGCATTTTCAGGCAGATTCCTAAAATCAGCAAAAATGATTTCATGACCATTCAAGACTTATTACGCGTTAAGCCAGTGTTTCTCAACTTTGCCAATTTTAAGGCATGTGGACTTCAACTCCCAGAATTCCACAGCCAGCATTGCTGGCTGTGGAATTCTGGGAGTTGAAGTCCACATGCCTTAAAATTGGCAAGGTTGAGAAACACTGCGTTAAGCAGAATTTTTAATATTTTTCAAATTGTCTGATACTAAGGTAAACAAGCTTCTCGTGTTATGACTGAAGTCAAACAACATAGCTAAGCCCTAATATGGTTTGCTTGTTTGGGGTCGCCTAGCTGTTGGACGAGCAACGTCCCGGTTTTGGGAAAGTAATTCAGACCCCTTCTGCACCCTGAAACCAGAAGAGGTCCTTGTTTCCATGAGCTATCTCCAGAATAACAAAAACAGAAGGGGGAATAGGAAGCGGCGGCGGCTTTAGTTGCAGGAGAGGAACCGCCTCTTACATTGCTCTTGAGTTTGCGCAAGTATTTCGGGTCGAGTGGGCAGCGCAGGAAGGGGAAGCAAGCCACAAAAACGGTTTTAAGTAACCAGGCTGTCATCATAGTGT